TGTCCAATTTAGTTGGGGACAAGAGGGTGACATGCTTTAGCTGGATGGCTGCACAGATTGTTGTGTATGTCTGTTTGTTGCCAGTCCCAGACCTTGAACTCAGGATCTGGGCACAGTCCATGAGCTGCTTTTGCTCAAGGCTAGCCCTCTACCACTGGAGTCACACGGCTCTACTTCTGGCTTTGTTGGCACTGAAGTTGGACAGGGGTTTCAAGGACTTTCCTGCTTAGGGTGACTTTGACCATAGCCTTGTAGGTTTCAAGGAGGACCTGCGCTGCTGCTGCTGCTGCTGGCTGCCCTGCTCTGCGGCCTGGGCCCAGGAGGCTGGGGTGAGGCCTTGGTGGTTTCTAGTTCCCCCACCCTCTTTGGTGGTTTGTAGTTCTCCCCCCTTGGTGATTTCTAGTTCTCCCCCCTTGGTGATTTCTAGTTCTCCCCTTGGAGGTTTCTAGTTCTCTCCTCTTTGGTGGCTTCTAGTTCTCCCACCTTGGTGGTTTCTAGTTCCCCCCAGTTTGGTGGTTTCTAGTTGTCCCTCTTTGGTGGTTTCTAGTCCCACCCCCTTGGTGGTTTCTAGTTCCCTCTCTTTGGTGGTTTCTAGTTGTCCCTCCTTGGTGGTTTCTAGTTCTCTCCCCCTGGTTGGTGGTTTCTAGTTCTCTCCCCCAGTTTAGTGGTTTCTAGTTCTCTCCCCGTGGCTGGTGGTTTCTAGTTCCCCCCCCAGTTTGGTGGTTTCTAGTTCTCTCCCCCTGGTTGGTGGTTTCTAGTTCCCCCTCCTTGGTGGTTTCTAGTTCCCCCTCCTTGGTGGTTTCTAGTTCTCCCCCCTTGGTGGTTTCTAGTTCCCCCTCCTTGGTGGTTTCTAGTTCTCCTCCAGTTTGGTGGTTTCTAGTTCTCTCCCCCTCGGTGGTTTCTAGTTTTCTCACCTTGGTGGTTTCTAGTTCCCTCCCAGTTTGGTCATTACTAGTTCTCTCCCCCTGTTTAGTGGTTTCTAGTTCTCCCCCAGTTTGGTGGTTTCTAGTTCCCCCCTCCTTGGTGGTTTTTCTCCCCCTTGGTGGTTTCTAGTTCCCCCACCTTGGTGGTTCTACTTCCCCCCCAGTTTGGTGGTTTCTAGTTCTCCCTCTTTGGTGGTTTCTAGTTCTCCCCCCCTTTTTGGTGGTTTCTAGTTCTCCCCTGTTTGGTGGTTTCTAGTTCTCTCCCCAGTTTGGTGGTTTGTAGTTCTCCCCTCTTTGGTGGTTTCTAGTGTCCCCCCCTCCTCTCCTGGTGGTTTCAGGTTCCCCCCCATCAGGGCCCGGGGCTGGGCTGGGGTTGTGGGGTGGGGAGGTGGCAGTGGATTTTCAGGTTGGGCCGGGTTGTTGGAGGCCGGAGCCTTGTCCTGTTGGCCTGTGTGTCTCTGTGTCTGTCTTTCTGTCTGTCTTCCGTCTCCTCTCGGTCTGTCTGTCTGTCTGTCTGTCCATCTGTCCATCTGTCAGTCTGCCTGTGTCCCTGTCTATCTGTTTGTCTCTGGGTCTGTCTGTCCATCTGTCCATCTGTCTGTCAGTCAGTCAGTCTGTCTGTGTCGGTCTGTCTCTCTCTGGGTTTGTCTGTCTGTCCATCTCCTCTTGGTCTGTCTATGTCTGTCTGCCTGCCTCTCGGTCTGTCTGTCTCCTCTCTGTCCATCTGTCTTCCTTTTTGTCTGTCTGTCCGTCTGCATCTCAGTCTGTCTGTCTGTGTCTCTGTCCATCTGCTTCTGTCGGTCTGTCCATCTCCTTTCAGTCTGTCTGTCTGTCTGTCTCCTCACAGTCTGTCTGTCTTCCTCTTGGTCTGTCTGTCCACCTAGATGTCCATCTGCTTCTCCTGTCTGTCTGTCCATCCGGTCTTGGTCATCCGTCCATCCCTTGTTTGTCTGTCTGTCCCTCAGTCTCTGCATCTGTCTGTCTCTGTCTGTCTGCAGGTCAGTCTGTGTCTGGGCCCCTGTCTGTCCATGTGTGTGTGTCCATGTTTCTGTCTGTCCATCTCCTCTCTGTCTGTCTCATTGTCTGTCTATCTGTCCATCTGTCTCTGGCTCTGTCTGTCTGTCTATCTGTCCATGTGTCATCCTCTTGGTCTGTCTGTCTGTCTGTCCATCTGCCTCTCAGTCTCTCTGTCTGGGTCTGTCTGTCCTGTGTCTGTCTGTCTGTCTCCTCTCTGTCCATGTCTTCCTCTCTGTCTGTCTGCCTCTTGGTCTGTCTGTCCACCTGGCTGTCCATCTGCTTCTTCTGTCTGTCCATCTGTCTGTCCTGTCTTGATCATCTGTCCATCCCTTGCCTGTCTGTCTGTCCGTGTGTCATCCTCTCGGTCTGTCTGTTCGTTTCTGTGTCTATCTGTCTCCCCATCCATACGTCTGTCCCCAACAACTGTCCTCTTTCCCCCTCAGGCCAGGCCGACTTTGACCTCGCCGACGTCCTGGATGACCCCGGTGAGTCCTGACCTCTCACCTTTCCCCCCCCATGGCTTCACCCTGACCGCTAGGCCTCACATGGGGCCTTGATCCAGCTGTGGGCCTGAATCCCATGTGACCCTTTGCCACCCCCTGAGGCCTTGGGATCAGGGGTTGGGGGGGTCAGGGGAGGTCAGGGGTCACCACCCTCTCTCTCCTCGCCCACAGATCCCACCCCGAAGCCCATCTCGGATGAGTGGGGTCCTCCCACACACACACCAGGCCCACCCAGGGTGGGGAAACTGAGGCACGGCCCACTCCTGGCACATAGGGCTGTACCCGCAGCTGCCTGACCCGCCCAGGCCGTGACCTCCGGGTCGGGAAGGAGGTGAGCGGGGTCAGGGGGGGTCAGGGGGAGCCAGGGGTCAGGGGAAGGAGGGGGGTAAGGGGAGGGGAGAGGCCGGCCTCCATCCTCCCTCGCTCTCTTCCCGCAGACATCTACCTCCCGACGCCAGCCTCCACCCCAGCCCCAACCCCCGCCAGGCACAGGAGGTGAGGACATGGAAGGGGGGAGGCCCGGATGTGGAGGCTGGGGATGGAGAGGCCTGGATGTAGAGGCCCGGATGTAGGGAACCCAGTGTGGAGGCCCGGATTTATGGACCCGGATGTGGAGACCCCAGTGTGGAGATCTGGATGTAGAGACCCAGATGTGGAGACCCCAGTGTGGAGACCTGGATGTAGAGACCCGGATGTGGAGACCCCAGTGTGGAGACCTGGATGTAGAGACCCGGATGTGGAGACCCCAGTGTGGATTCCTGGATGTAGAGACCCGGATGTAGGGACCCAGACATGGGATCACAGATGTAGGGACCTGGATGTGGGTACCCTGATGTAGGGACCCGGATGTAAGGACCCGGATGTGGAGGCTGAGCTCCCAGGGCTGCGTCTCTCCTCCCCCTCCACCCCAGGTGCTGGTGACGAACACGTGATCCACGGATACCCTCCAGGGTAAGTCCCGCCCCCTCAGCCGCCCCACTTCCGGTCCCCTCCTGATCTGGGCCCAGGCGTGTATTGGGACTTCCGGTCTGCATGAGAACTTCCGCTCCTGACAGTATGTGAACTTCTGGTCCAGAGTATCGGAACTTCCGGTCCTGATTGGGAACTTCCGGTCCCTAGTATATAACAACTTCCGGTCCCGACTGGGGACTTCCAGTCCCTAGTGTATAGGAACTTCCAGTCCTGACTATGGGGACTTCCGGTCCCTAGTGTGTAAGAACTTCCGGTCTTCACTGTGGAGACTTCCAGTCCCTAGTATATAACTTCTGGTCTTGACTATGGGGACTTCCGGTCCAAGTGTACAGGAACTTCTGGTCCTGATTGGAAGGACACTTCCGGTCCCTAGTGTATAGGAACTTCCCATCCTGATTGGAAGGGCACTTCCAGTCCCTAGTGTAGAGGAATTTCCCGTATCTAGTGTATAAGAACTTCTGGTATTGACTATGGGGACTTCCGGTTTTGACTGTGGAGATTTCCAGTCCCTAGTATATAGGAACTTCTGCTCCTGACTGGGGACTTCCGGTCCCTAGTATATAGAAACTTCCGGTCCTGATGGGAAGGGCATTTCCGGTCCCTAGTGTGTAGGAACTTCTGGTCTTGACTGTGGAGACTTCCAGTCCCTAGTATATAACAACTTCTGGTCTTGACTATGGGGACTTCCGGTCCCTAGTATACAAGAACTTCTGGTCTTGACTAGGGGCACTTCCTGTCCCTGTTCATGGACACTTATGTCACGCCATCTAATTGCAAGGGGCGTGGCCTGAAGTTGACAGGACACTTGATAATACAAGGGGGCGTGGCCTGAAGATGACAGATAGGACACATGATTATACAACAAGGGGGCGTGGTCTGAAGGTGACAGACAGGACAAATGTCCACACAACAGCCAGGGGGCGGGACCTGGAGGAGACAGACAGCCCCTGTGGCCTTTCAACAGCCATTGGGCGGGGCCTGGAGGTGACAGAGAGCCTCTATGGCCTTCCAACAGCCAGAGGGCGGGGCCTGGAAGAGACAGACAGCCCCTGTGGCCTTCCAACAGCCAGGAGGCGGGACCTGGAAGTGAAGGACAGCCCCTGAGCCCATACATTCACTAGTGGGCGGGACTTCTGGGTGATGGGCACCCACAGCATTCATAGAGCTAGCCACGAAGAGGCGTGGCTTCACACATATCGACTCTCCAGCTATTGGCTTGGCAGGAGGCGGGACCCAGGGATGATGGACAGCATGCCCTGCCTTTCAATATCACCCAAGGAAGAGGCGGGACCGGACTCCCAGCTTCCCTGGGCAGGGCCAAAGGATGGAGAGACAGGCGTGTCAGCCAATCAGAGCAGGGGCGTGGCTGGAGGAGTCCCCGGGGAAGCCAATGGGTCCCTCCCTCCAGAGAAGACCCGGATGTCGTGCAGGTGCAATGCATCCTAGGCCTAGGGAGACACAGACCTCCAACCTCGACTTATCCTACCGCCATAAGGAGCTATAGGCCCATCTGGGTCAATCCCTGGAGAGGTCATTGGGGTCCCCTGGGACAGGCACAGAAGGGGAAGAGGTCGCAGGCCTGGTCATCCACCCATCCATCCACCCAACCACCGACCCCCCTTAGAGTGGGCCAACATCCGGGTACCCCACTTCTCCAATCCCGCTGGGCCAATCTGAATCCGAGTTCAGGTAGTTAGGGGCAGGACTGTCGTGTGAGGTCCAATCAGCAGCGAGTTGGATTTGTGGGGGGGCTAAAGGGCATGTCTTACAGCTGGACCAATGACAAGTGAATTAGGAAAGTGAGGGCAGGGCTTTCATGGAATAGGCCAATCAGGTGTGAATCTAGGTGGTGGGATGTCCTAGAGGAGGGCAAGACCAAGCCTGTATCCTAGCAACCCACTGGAAATGGTCTGAAATGGAAGGTTGGATTAGTCCAATACCCTAGCAACCACCGGAAATGGCCTGAAATGGAAGGCGGGACTAGTCCAATACCCTAGCAACCACCGGAAATGACCTGAAATGGAAGGTGGGACCAGCCCTGTATTACGACCGGAAATGTTCTGAAATGGAAGGCGGGACCAGTCCTATACCCTAGCAATGACCAGAAGTGGCCTGAAATGGAAAGTGGGACTAGTCCTATACCTTAGCAATGACCGGAAATGACCTGAAGTGGAAGGTGGGAGTAGTCCTATACCCTAGCAATGACTGGAAATGACCTGAAATGGAAGGTGAGACTAGTCCTATACCCTAGCAACGACCAGAAGTGGCCTGAAATGGAAGGGGGGACCAGCCCTGTATCCTAGCATCAACCGGAAATGACCTGAAATGGAAGGCAGGACCAGTGCCCGGCTTCTGACCCCGGTGACCCCTGACCCTGCCGTGCGGTGCGGTGCTCACGAGGTTTTATTGTGTGAGAAGTTAGAGGACATAGGCCCGGATGTGAGAGGGCCCCGGATGGGAGGCTGGGAAAAGGCCCTGGATGGGAGGACCAAGGTGGAGGTCCAGGATGAGAGGCTCAGGATGTGAGAGTCCCCGGATGTGGGAATCCCTGGGTCTGAGAATCCCCAGATGTGAGACTCTCTGAATGTGAAAATCCCCGGATGTAAGAGTTCCCCAGATGTGAGAATCCCCGCATGTGAAAGTCTCTGGATGTAAAAGTCCCTGGATGTGACAATCCCCGGATGTAGGAATCTCTAGATGTGGGAATCCCCGGATGTGAGAATCCCCGGCTGTGGGAATCCCCAGATGTGAGAATCCCTGGATGCGAGAATCCCCAGATGTGGGAATCCCCGGGTGTGAGATTTCCCCAGATGTGGGAATTCCCTGGTCTGAGAATCCCCGGATGTGGGAATCCCCGGATATGAGAATCCCTGGATGTGGGAATCTCTGGATGGGAGAATCTCTGGATGTGAGAATTTCCGGATGTGAGACTCCCCGGATGTGAGAATCTCTGGATGTGAGAGTCTGTATGTAGGAATCCCCAGATGTGAGAGTCTCTGGATGTGAGAATCCTCGGATGTAAAAGTCCCCGGATGTGAGAGTCTCTGGTTGTGAGAATCCCCGGGTGTAAAAGTCCCCGGATGTAGGATTCCCCAGATGTGTAAATACATCCCCGGGAATCCCCGGATGTGTCACCAGAAGTGAGAATCCCCGGATGTGAGAATCCCCGGATGTAGGAATCCCCGGATGTAGGAATCCCTGGATGTGAGAGTCTGTATGTGGGAATCCCCGGATGTGGGAATTTCTGTATTTGAGTATACCCAGATGTTTAATACCCGGATGTGAGTCCCCGGATGTGAGAGGCGCAGGCCAGGATCTGCCATAGCCCCAGGGAAGTTGGTGGTTGGGGGTCGGGTCGGGGTCAGAGGTCGGGGATCAGGTGGTCGCAGGCACAGAGCGGTCCGGGCGAGCAGCAGGGCTGCAGGCGCGGGCTCCAGGTGTTGTGTGCAGGGGCGAGGGGCGGGGCCGCGAGGGGGCGGCGCATGCGCAGCATCAGGGCCACCGCGGCCTCCACGCGCCTGCGCATCGCCATCAGGCCCTGCAGCGGGCGGGTCTCCCCCGGGTCCGCCGTCAGGTCAAAGAGCAGTGGCCGCCGGTGGCGGGTCATTCGCCGCCCCGAGCAGGCGCAGGCAGGGAAACCGAGGCAGGTGCCCGAGCCCGGCGGGTCGATGCGTGGAGTGGCGAAGTGCAGCTTCCACACCGTGTGGCCTGCGGGGGGTGGGGGAGTAACATCCGGGGCCTCACATCCGGGGATTCCCATCCGGGAATTCACATCCAGGACATCACATCCAGGGATTCGCATCCGGGCATTCACATGCAAGACCTTACATCCAGGGATTCCCATTCAGGACTTCACATCTGGGTATTCACATCCGGGGATTCCCATCTAGGACCTCACATCCGGGGATTCACATGCAGGACCTCACATCCGGGAATTCACATCCGGAACCTCACATCCAGAACCTTACATCTGGGGCTTCACATCTGGGGATTCACATCTGGGGCTTCACATCCGGGGATTCACATCCGGGGGGGCCACATCCGGGCATTCACATGTGGGACCTCACATCCGGGGACTCACATCCGGGGGTTCTCATCTGGGACCTCACATCCAGGGATTCCCATTTGGGACCTCACATCCGGGGCCTCACATCCGGGGATTCCCATCCGAGGCCTCACATCCGGGATCTCACATCCAGGGCCTCACATCCAGGGATTCTCATCCAGTACCTCACATCCGGGAATTCCCATCGGGGACTTCACATCCGGGGATTCCCATCTCATGACTTCCATCCAGGTCCTCACATCCCGGGATTCCCACATCCGGGTCTCCCACCCCCAGGCCTTGCATCCGGGTCCCTGCGCGCATGCATGCAGCTCCCTCCTCCGCCCCAGGGCCCAACTGAGGTCGAGGCACTCACTTGGGCGGTCGAACCAACGCACGGCGTGCAGCCGAGCCTCGCAGTAGTGCAGCAGGAAGTCGTGGCCTGCGGCCTGCGCCGTCCCCAGCAGCGCGGGCATCAGGTCCCGGCCGTCCACCTCCCTGCGGGACCCGGATGTGCAGGCTTCTGGGCACTCAGAGACCCGGATGTGCAGGCCAGAGCCCCCAGAAACCCGAATGTGCAGGCCAGAGATCCCAGAGACCTGGATGTCAAGGCTTGAGCCTTTAGAGACCCGGATGTGCAGGCTTCTGAGCCCTCAGAGACCTGGATGTGCAGGCTTCTGAGGCCTTCAAGACCCGGATGTCCAGGCTCCTGAACACTCAGAGACCCGGATGTGCAGTCTTCTGAGCGCTCAGAGGCCCGGATGTGCAGGCCAGAAATCCCAGAGACCCAGATGTCCAGGTTTCTGAGCCCCCAGAGACCCGGATGTGCAGGTCTAAGACCCAGGCCTCTGGTCTTAGAGACCTGGATGTGCAGGCCTGAGGCCTCAGAGACCCAGATATCCAAGCTTCTGAGCGCTCAGAGACCCGGATGAGCAGGCCTGAGATCCCAGAGTCCTGGATGTGCAGGCCTGAGCCCTCAGAGACCTGGATGTCCAGGCCTGAGACCTGGGCCTAGGTACTCAGAGACCTGGATGTGCAGCCCTGATGCCTTAGAGACCCGGATATGAAGGCCTGAGTCCTCAGAGAACCAGATGTCCAGGCTTCTGAGTGCTCAGAGGTCCAGATTTGCAGGCCTGAGCCCTTAGTTACCCGGATGTAAAGGCTTCTGAGCCCCCAGAGACCCGGATGTCAAGGCCTGAGCCCCGGGTCTTGGGTCTTAGAGACCCGGATGTGCAGGCTCCTGAGCCCCCAGAGACCCGGATGTGCAGGTCTGAGCCCTCAAAGACCCAGATGTGCAGGCTTCTGAGCAACCAGAGACCCGGATGTGCAGGCCTCAGCCTCCCCCCCTCGGGATCCCCGAGGCCCCGGATGACCCCCCTTCTCCTCCACCCCGTGGGGACCCAGGCAGGCGAACTCCTACCTGTCCGCCGGAACCCAGCCCCCGGCCAGGCGCACCACGGTGGGGAACAGGTCCATGAGGCTGGTGGGCTCAGGCACCAGGCGCCCTGCGGGCAGGGTCCCGGGCCAGCGCACCAGCCCAGGGACCCGGATGCCGCCCTCCCAGCCGCCCATGCCTTTGCCACCTGCAAGGGGGGGGCGGAGGGCAAAGGTCAAGGGGCGGGGTCGGGCTGCGTGGGAGGCCCCGCCCACCCTGCCTCAGTTTCCCCCTCGCCTCGGTGCACGCCGTTGGAACCCCCGAGGCGGGCGCCCCCAGCCCGGGCCTCCAGTGAGGCACCGTGGTCCGACGTGAAGTAGACGAGGGTGCGGCGCCCCAGCCCCGCACCGTCCAGCGCTGCCAGCAGTCGCCCTGCGGGGGGGGGGGGGGGAAATGGGTCCGTGCCTCAGTTTACCCCCAGCATCCACAGTGCCTCAGTTTACCCAACATGCATCATGACTCAGTTTACAAATTTCCATCGTGCTTCAGTTTATCCTCAATGCCCAGTGACTTAGTTTACCCAACAGGCACCCACCGTGCCTCAGTTTACCCCCAACGCTCACCGGGCCTCAGTTTACCCAAATGCACTGTGCCTCAGTTTACCCCCAACATGCACTGTGCCTCAGTTTACCCAAATGCACTTTGCCTCAGTTTACCCAAGTGCACCGTGCCTCAGTTTACCCTAAACATGCACCGTGCCTCAGTTTACCCCTATATTTGGGCCTCAGTTTACCCAAGTGCACCGTGCCTGTTTACCCAAATGCACCGTGCCTCAGTTTACCCCAACCCGCTGACCCCGTCCCCGTGCCTCAGTTTACTCCCATCCCGGTGCCTCAGTTTACTCAACCCACTCACCTCGTCCCCGTGCCTCAGTTTACCCAACATGCACCATGTCTCAGTTTACCCAACATGCCCAGTGACTCAGTTTACCCAACATGCACCATGCCTCAGTTTACCCAAATACACCGTGCCTCAGTTTACCCCAATACCCAGTGACTCAGTTTACCCAACATGCACCGTGCCTCAGTTTACCCCTATACTCGGGCCTCAGTTTACCCACATCCACCGTACCTCAGTTTACCCAAATGCACCGTGCCTCAGTTCACCCTGAACATGCACCGTGCTTCAGTTTACCCAACATGCACCGTGCCTCAGTTTACCCAAGTGCACCGTGCCTCAGTTTACCCCCAACATGCCCAGTGACTCAGTTTACCCAAATGCACCATGCCTCAGTTTACCCAAACCCCATGCCTCAGTTTATCCCCAACACACTGACCCCGTCCCCGTGCCTCAGTTTACCCAAATGCACCGTGCCTCAGTTTACCCCAACCCACTCACCCCACCCCTGTGCCTCAGTTTCCCCATCCCGCTCACCCCGTCCCCATGCCTCAGTTTCCCTATCCTGCTCACCCCACCCCCGTGCCTCTGTTTCCCCCATCCCACGCACCATGCCTCAGTTCCTGCCCCCCCGCACTCACCCACCATCCAGTCAAGCTCCTCCACGTTGTCGCCGTAGGCGCCGTGCGCGCTGCGGCCCCGGAAGGCAGGTGAGGTGACCAGCGGGACATGGACGTGGAGGAAGGAGACGAGGAGGAGGAAGGGGCGGGCCTGGTGCCTGCGGATCCACGTCAGACCCCGCCCCCACCATCAATAACCTCACTGATAACCGACCTGATCAGGTATTGCCAATAATCGATCAGATGATCGATAATTGATCCTGATCTGATCAGATATTACCAATAATCGATCCTGATCTGATCGATAATACCAATAATCGATCATGATCTGATCGATAATACCAATAATCAATAGTGATCTGATCAAAAATACCAAAATCGTGATCCGATCAGTTATTACCAATAATCAAACAGATCTGATCAGTTATTACCAATAATCAAACATCTGATCGATATGACCAATAATAGAACATGAGCTGATCAGATATTACTAATAATCGAACAGGATCTGATCAATAATACCAATATTCGATTGTGATGTGATCGATAATACCAATAATCGAACATCATCTGATCGATAATACCAATAATTGAACATGAGCTGATCAGTTATTACCAATAATCGAACATCATCTGATCAGTTATTACCAATAATCGATCATGATCTGATCAATACTACCAATAATCGATCATGGTCTGATCTGAGGTTTACCAGATGTCTCTACAGATCTACTAGATGGAACATCCGGGGACCTGAGGTCTACCAGATGTCTATAGAGATCTACTGGATGTACATCCAGGGATCTAAGGTCTACCAGTTGACTATAGAGATCTAGTAGATGGAATTGGTCCCCCTCCCCGACCCCAGGCTGACCTGTGGATGAAGGCCTCAGCCTCCCGCAAGAAGAGCCCCGCGCTGGCCTCAAACCTCAGAGGCTGCTGGACGACCTGGTGATCCCTCATCAGGAAGCAGTCAGCATGGACGATGAAGATACCCAGGAGGCGGGAGGTGCAGGCCAGGAGCAAGGCCCCACATCCGGGGCCCAGCACCCAGGGCACCCAGCGCAGGCCCAGCAGGCCCGTGACCTTCCCAGCGGCCAGGCAGAGCAGGGAAAGCAGCAGCAGCTGAGCCCCCAGGTCCAGGGGCCCTTGCAGACGCGCTCGCTTCTCCGAGGGCTCCGCTTGCAGGCAGTCCCCCATCAGGGTGAAGGGGACCCCGAAGAAGGAGTCAAACCCGTGGTTCAGGGGGTGGTGGCAGTGGTCAGTGGGGGACTCACAGTTGAGGCCCAGGTGCCATTTGCCTGGAGGGGAAGAGATGGATGGATGAGTGAATGGATGGGTGGATGGATGGGTGGATGGATGGGTGGGTGGATGGTTGGGTGGGTGGATGGGTGGGTGGATGGATGGATGGATGGATGAATAGGGGAATGGGTGGGTGGATGGATGGATGGATGGATGAATAGGTGGATGGGTGGATGGATGGATAGATGAGTGGATGGATGGATGGATGGGTGGATGGGTGGATGGATGGATGGATGGATGGATGGGTGGATGGATGGATGGATGGATGGATGGGTGGATGGATGGATGGATGGGTGGATGGATGGGGGATGGGTGGATAGATGGATGAGTGGATGGATGACTTCTTTCTTACCTATGAGGCCGGTGGCATATCCCTGCTCCTGCAGGATCTTGGCGAAGGTGATCTCGGAGGTGGGCAGCCCGCCCGACACGGCTGCCCACTGCAGCACGCGCGCCCCGTTGGTGGTCACCATGCCTTCCAAGAGAGAGGAGAAGGACCCTAGGTCAGTGATGATGGCGTCCCGGGTCAGGAGGGGGTATCTAGCACCTTCAGGGGGAAGGCCTGCTGTGTCTGGGATAGCCTGGGACCTGCGCACCCGGGGTGGAAAGGACCCCAGCCCTGTGAGCCCCCGGGGGAAACCAATATGGCATCACTTCCGGTTTCCTGGCGTTTCAGGGGGGAAGTCCCAGAGTCTCAGGAATTTGAACCTGAGATCCTCAGAGTAGTCCTCCCCTCCCTCTGATGGACCTCAGTGCCCTAGATGTTGAGCCTCAGTTCCCTGGATGTTGGACCTCAGGTCCCCGGATGTTTGATGTTAGTATCCCGGATGTTGGCCCTCAGATCCCCGGATGATGGAGTTCAGTGCCCTGTATGGTGGATATCAGGACCCCAGATGTTGGACTTCAGTTACCCAGATGTTGTAGCTCAGTTCCCTGGATGTTGGATCTTACAACCCCGGATATTGGAGCTCAGATTCGAGTATGTTGGCCCTCAGATCCCCAGATGTTGGAGCTCTGTTCCCTGGATGTTGGGGCTTAGGTTCCCGGATGTTGGATCTTAGTACCCCGGATGGTGGATGTCAGGTCCTCGGATGTTGGAGTTCAGTTCCCAGAATGTTAGGCCTCAGATCCCCGGATGTTGGATCTTAGTACAATGGATGTTAGAGATAAGGTCCCCAGATGTTAGAGTTCAGTGCCCCGGATGTTGGTGCTCAGATCCCCGGATGTTGGATCTTAGTAACTGGATGTCAGAGATGAAGTCCCTGGATGTTAGAGCTCAGTGCCCTGGATGTTGGTGCTCAGTTCCCCGGATGTTAGGCTTTAGATCCCCGATGTTGGGTCTCAGATCCCCAGATGTTGGATATCAGGTCCATGGATGTTGGATCTTAGTACCCCGGATGTTGGCTCTCAGATCCCCGGATGTCCCGCCCCCACCTCCCCCCCACCGCCCCCTCCATTCCCCAAATGTCCCACCCCCCCATACCGACCCAGGCGCACAGGGTAGCGTCCCGTCAGGAAGGCCGCACGGCTCGGGCTGCAGACGGACGCTGCCGCCAGGTGCTGGGTCAGCCGCACGCCGTCCCGGGCCAGGCCGTCCAGGTGCGGGGTGCTGTGGGGGGAGAGGAAAACTGAGTCACAGCCTAGAACATACGGGGACCTGGGGTCTAACATCCGGGGATCTAATGCACAACATCCCAGGAGCTGAACTCCAACATCCAGGGCCCTGAGATCCCACATCCGGGGATCTAAGATCCAACATCCGGGGACTTGAGATCCCACATCCGGGATACTAAGATCCAACATCTGGGGACCTGAGGTCCAACATCCTGGGATCTAAGGTCCAACATCTGGGGCCCTGAGATCCCACATCCAGGGTACTAAGATCTATATCTGTGGACTGGACTCCTACATCCGGGGATCTAAGGCCCAACATCCGGGGACCTGAGGGCCTACATCCGGACAACTAAGATCCAACCTCTGGGACCTGAGCTCAAACATCTGGGTACCTGGTCTCCAACATCTGGGACACTAAGATCCAACATCCAGGGATCTGATATCCAACATCCGGGGGCCTGATCTCCAACATCTGGGGTACTAACATCTAACATCTGGGAACCTGATTTCCCACATCTGGGTTATACTAAGATTTAACATCCGAGGACCTGATCTCCAACATCCGGGGCACTAACATCCCACATCCAGGGATCTGATATCCAACATCCGGGGACCTGATCTTCAACATTCAGGGAACTGAGACCTAACATCCTGGGAATTGAACTCCAACATCCGGGGACCTAACATCCAACATCCGGGGACCTGAGGTCCACTAGATGTCTATACAGTTCTCCTGGTGGAACATCCGGGGAACTGAGCTCTAACATCTGGGGTACTAACATGTAACATCCGGGGACCTGATATCCAACATCCAGGGCAGTAAGATTCAACATCCGGGGACCTGATCTCCAACATCGGGGACCTGATCTCCAACATCCGGAGCACTAACATCTAACATCCGGGAACCTGATTTCCCACATCCGGGGCATTAAGATCTAACATCCGTGGACCTGTCCTTCAACATCCAGGGCACTAACATCCCACATCCGAGGATCTGATATCCAACATCCGAGGATCTGATATCCAACATCCGGGGTACTAACATCTAACATCGGGGACCTGATATCCAACATCCAGGACACTAAGATCTAACATCCAGGCACCTGGGCTCCTACATCCAGAGGAATAAGATCCAACATCCGGGGCACTGAGCTACAACATCCAGGGTACTAATAGCTAACATCCGGGGACCTGAGCTCCCACATTCGGAGCACTAACCTCCAACATCTGGGGACCTGAGCTCCTACATCTGGGGCACTGAAGTCCAATATCTGGGGACATAATCTCCCACATCCGGGGTACTAAGATTTAACATCCAGGGACCTGATATCCAACATCCAGGGCACTAACATCCAACATCCGGGGACCTAGTCTCCAACATCCGGGGTACTAACATCCAACATCCAGGGAACTGAAGTCCAACATCCGGGAACCTGATTTCCCACATCCGGGGTATTAAGATTTAACATCCGGGGACCTGATATCCAACATCCGGGGCATTAAGATCCAACATCCGGGGACCTGGTCTCTAACATCCGGGGACCTGGTCTTCAAATCCGGGGTACTAACATGTAACATCCGGGGACCTGATATCCAACATCCGGGGCACTAAGATCCAACATCCGGGGATTTGATATCCAACATCCACGATACTAACATCCAACATCCGGGGAACTGAGTTACTAGATGTCTATACAGTTCTCCTGGTGGAACATCCAGGGATCTGAGCTCCCACATCCGGGTAACTAAGGCCCTACATCCGGGCCTCCCCCTCTGCTCACCGCAGGCTGCGGTTCCCGAAGCTGCCCAGGTCGCCCAGGCCCAGGTCGTCGGCCAAGAGCAGCAGGAAGTTGGGGCGCGAGGGGGCGGGGCCTGTGCAGGGGCCAGGGGGGAGGAGGAGGAGGAGGAAGGCGAGGGGTGGGGCTGCGCAGCTGCTGTGCGACCTGAGGAGGAGAGAGAGGAGGAGGAGGGGTGGATGGGTGGATGGATGGGTGGATGGATGGATGGATAGGTGGATGGGTGGATGGATGGATGGATGGGTGAATGGATGGGTGGATGGATGGATGGTTGGATGGATAGGTGGATGGGTGGATGGATGGATGGATGGATGGGTGAATGGATGGGTGGATGGATGGATGGTTGGATGGATGAGTGGATGGGTGGATGAGTGGATGGATGGATGGGTGGATGGGTAGATGGATGGATGGGTGGATGGGTGGATGGATGGATGGGTGGGTGGATGGATGGATGGGTGGATGGATGGATGGGTGGGTGGGTGTATGTATGGATGGGTGGGTGGATGGATGGATGGATGGATGAATAGGTGGATGGGTGGATGGATGGATGGATGGATGGGTGGATGGGTGGATGGATGGATGGATGGGTGGGTGGATGGATGGTTGGGTGGATGGGTGGGTGGATGGATGGGTGGATGGATGGATGGGTGGATGGGAGGAGGGATGGGAGGACTCCCCCTCCCTCCAGGCCCTCTCCTGACCAACATGGCACCCAGGATCGCATCCTTCCCATGATGCTCCCCGTTTCCTGGAAGAGAAGGCCGGAAGCAGGAAGTGGGGAAGAGCTGAGGAACATCCGGCCACCCCAGGGCCAGGCTGCTGTTGCCCCCACCAGTACATCAGCCCCTCACCTTGTCTTTCCAGGCTTGTGGCAGGGCCCTGCAGCCCCCACCCCAGGGCATGGTGGGACATCCGGGGGGGCTCCAAAAAGCAATCGAAGCCCCCCCACCCCGGGTCCCCACACCTCTCCCCGTGTTCCCCAGAGGACGAACTCACATCCACAGTTCTCTGCCATCAGCGCCTGGGCCTGCTGCTCTCCCTGCCAGCCAGGAAGCTCGCAGGGGTCAAATGTCCACGTCACTCCAGCAGCCAGAACTCCACAACCCCCCTCCAAAATAAAAGTCCCCTTGTTCCTTGGAAAGGAACAGGATGTGGTGCTGAAGGGGAAGGCAGGGAAGAAAGGGAAAAGCCTGGAGTTGCTGGGCTGGGCGCCAAGAAATTGCCAGGCCTGGCAGAGGCAGGAGGAAGGGGAGGAGGGAAACCTCGAGAACTACATGGAGGGCTGCAATAAGAGTCAGGACCGTCAGGGAGCGTGGCCTGTGCCCAGGGGGCGTGGCCTGTGCTCAGTAGGGCGTGCCAGAGCTCAGGAGGGTGTGGCCTGGGCTGGGGAGGAAGTGAGGGACTCAGGAGGGCTTGGCCTGCGCTGGGGGGCGGAAGTGAGGAAGAATTCCATCCAGAAGCAGCATGGCTGCTTTATTGCCTCCGAGTCTGGGAAAGGACCCCAACGGCCAAAGCGCAGCTGGAGCCCGGGGCCAAGGTGTGGAGTGCCCGCTCCGCCCACATCTGGGTTCCACCTCTCACATCTGGGTCTCAACCCCTCACATCTGGGTCCCAACCCTCACATCCGGGTCCAAACCCCTCACATCCGGGTCCTGGCGCCTGCCAGTGGACCTGGAGTTAAGTAACATCCTGGTACTCGCCTCCACATCTGGGTTCCCGTACCTGGAGATCCCTAACATCTGGGTACCGACCCCACATACGGGTTCACGGACCTGGAGGTCCCTAACATCTGGGTACTCACCCCACATCCAGGTTCATGGACCTGGAGGTCCCTAACATCTGGGTACTCACCCCACATCCAGGTTCATGGACCTGGAGGTCCCTAACATCTGGGTAGTTCCCATTCCACATCTTGGTCCTGGACCCTCAGTGGATGTGGAGGGACCTGACATCCGGGATCCCCACACCACATCTGGGTCCTAGACCCTGTCAGTGGAAGGAGAGGAGCATGACATCCGGGACTCCACACGCCACAGCCAGGCCTGTGGATGTGATATCCGGGTCCTGCCCAGCACATATCTGGGTCCCTGCCACAGTCCACATCCGGGTTAATGGACGCGGACTTACATAACATCCGGGTTCCCCATGCAACATCCGGGTCCTGGCCCCTCAGTGGACCTGGAGATAGGTGACATCCGGGTCCCCCAGTCCACATCCGGGTCCTGGCCCCTCAGTGGACCTGGAGATAAGTGACATCTGGGTCCCTGACGCCACATCCGGGAGAGTGGACACGGAGGAGGGTGACATCCGGGTCCCCCAGTCCACATCCGGGTCCTGGCCCTTCAGTGGACCTGGAGATAAGTGACATCCGGGTTCCCCAGGCCACATCTGGGTCAGTGGACACGAATGAGGGAGACATCCGGGTCCCTCCCAGTCCACATCCGTGTACTGGCCCCTCAGTGGACATGAAGGAAGGTGACATCCGGGTCCCTCCTAGTCCACATCCGGATCCTGACCCATCAGTGCATCTGGAGGAAAGTGACATCCGGTTTCTCCATGCCACATCCGGGTCAGTGGACATGGAAGAAAGTGACATCCGGGTCCCTTCTAGTCCACATCCGGGTCCTGGCCCCTCAGTGGACCCGGAGATAGGTGACATCCGGGTTTCTCCCAGTTCACATCTGGGTCCTGGCACCTCAGTGGACCCAGAGATAGGTGACATCTGGGTCTTTCCCAGTCCACATCCGGGTCCCTCCCAGTCCACATCCGGGTCCTAGCCTCTCCGTGGCCTCTGGTCGGACTGCAGCTTCTGTGCAGCACATGCAGGTTTGGAGCCCCACATCCGGTCATCTTCCGGCTGGGGCCCAGGAGTCTTGCTGGAGCCGGACATCCGGGTCTCACGCGCTTTCCCGGCAACCGAACCCAGCGGCCTAAAGGCAGGAATGAAGCCCCACATCCGGGTCTTCTCGGTCTGTTGCCTGGCAACCGAACACAGAGGCCTAGACGCTGCGGTGGAGCCCAATGTCCTGGTATCTTCACTTGGTTGCCCGGCAACCGAACGCCGCGGCCTACCGGCGGGAATGAAGCCCCACATCAGGGTCTCCTCAGTCCGTTGCCCTGCCATGGCACCCAGCGGCCTAGTGGCGGGAATGAAGCTGAACATCCGGGTCTCTGGCACACGGGGGTCGTGTCTGGGCGGCGCCACGGGGTGGGCGTGGCAGACGTAGGCGCCGCGGTCGCGCTCGGAGGCGGCGCGCACCTCCAGGCTGCCGTCGGCGCCCAACGTGAAGCGGCCATGCCTCTGCGGCCCACGCAGCACCAGCCCCCCGGGCAGGCGCCAGGACACCGGAAGCGTGGAGGTGGGGCAGCGCAGCCGGAAGCTGCCGCCCAGCACCACACGCAGCGCCGCCCCCGGCGCCGCCCCAGGGGGTGGAGTCAGCGCCTCAGAGGGCAGAGTCGGTGCGTCAGGGGGTGCAGTCAGAGCCCAAGATGGCGGGGCAGGCGGGCCAGGGGGCGGAGCTGCCTCAGAGGGCGGAGCCAGCGCACCAGGGGGCGGAGTCAGCGCCCAAGATGGCGGGGCAGGTGCATGATGGGGCGGAGCCGGCGCAACAGGGGGCAGAGTCAACGCCTCAGAGGGCGGAGCCGACGCCGCAGGGGGGAGAGCCCGCGCCCACCATGGCGGCAGCCGCACCCACATCCGGGCTTCGCCCGCTGGGTTGCGCGCCACGCACACCACGGCATCGCTGCCACCGCTGTGCAGCGCACGCACATCCGGGATTTCCAACGTCCCGTGCGCATCCACGCTGATCCCTCCCCCCGTGCGACTGCGATACGGGACTGGAAGTACCAGCCCACCCGGAAGTTCCCACAGCAGGCGGGGCTCGGGGACGCCATCCGCCTGGCAGCGCACGCGCAGACGCACCACGGGGGAGACCCGGATGTCGTTGTTCACGTCGTCATGGACGTCAGGCGTGACCCGGATGCGCGGCGCCCGCAGCTGCACGTGTAGGCGCACGGTGGCGCGCCAGCCCCGCCCCGCCATGCACGTGTACGTGCCTGCGTCGGCCCGCCGCACCCCGCGCAGGCGCAGACGCCCGTCCGGCAGCACCCGGAAGTGGGCGTCCTCCAGGCCGGAAGTGAAGGCCATGGGGCGCAAGGCCGGCGTCAGCCACGTCACCGCGCGCGACCCTCGCGTCACTGGGCACGTGAGGGTCACTGGGGCGCCGTAGGGGACGGAGAGCTCAGGGGGCAGCAGGGTGGAAGTGGGAGAGGAAGAGGAAGCCGGAAGTGAAGCAGGAAGTGAAGGGGAACCAGGAAGTGAAGAGTAACCAGGAAGTGAAGAGGAAGAGGAAACAGAAAATGAAGAGGAAGAAGGAAGAGGCTGAAAGGAAGAGGAAGAAGAGGAAGAAGGAAAGGAAGAGGAAGAAGAAACATGAGAGGAAGCAGGAAGAGATGGAGAAGAAGAAGAAGGAAAGGAAGAGGAAGCAGGAAAAGAATGTGAAGAAGAGGAAGAAGGAAGAGACTGAGAAGAGGAAGAGGAAGGAAAGGAAGAGGAAGCAGGAAAAGAATGTGAAGAAGAGGAAGAGGAAGGAAAGGAAGAAGAGGAAGAAGGAAGAGACTGAGAAGAGGAAGAGGAAGGAAAGGAAGAAGAAGAAGAAGGAAGAGATTGAGAGGAAGAGAACAGGAAGGGATGAGAGGAAGAAGGAAAGGAAGAGGAAGAAGGAAAAGAAGAAGAGGAAGCAGAGGAAAAGGAAGAAGATGAAGGATGGTGAGAGGAAGAGGAAGGAAGAGATGGAGAGGAAGAGGAAGAAGGAAAGGAAGAGGAAACAGGAAATGAAGAGGAAGAGGAAGACGGAAGTGACTGAGAGGAAGAGGAAGAACCCGCCCCAGGCCCCGCCCCCCCAGCTGTGGTCACACATCCGAGGTCTAACCCAGGCCCCAGGTCCCAGTTCCCCACACTCCCATCAGGCCTCGCGACCGGAACATCCGGGTCTCCCAGGACACCGGATGGGACCTGGAGGCGGTGGTAGGCAGTGCAGTCCTCCCTGGGGTCGGCGTCCTGGGTCACGGGGGTCACGGGGGTCACGGGAAGCCCGGGTTGCAGATAGGAGGCAGCTGGCCCAGCCATCAACTCCACGCGCAGCCGTGCATGCGCGTCGCCCGCCGCGTTGCGCGCCACGCACACGTACTCCCCCGCATCACGTGACGTCACCGGACGCACGGAGAGCGTGCCGTTGGAAAAGGCGCGGACCCGGATGTCAGAGCTGGGGAGGGGAGGGGAAGGGAGGGCAGGAAGGAAGGAAGGAAGGAAGGAAGGAAGGAAGGAAGGAAGGAAGGAAGGAAGGAAGGAAGGAAGGAAGGAAAGAAGGAGGGAAGGAAGGAGGGAAGGGTAAAGGAAGGATTGGAGGGAAGGAAGGAGAGAATGTAGGGAAGGAAGGAGGGAAGGAAGGATTGGAGGGAAGGATTGGAAGGATTGGACGGAAGGAAAGATGGAAGGATTGGAGGGAAGTAAGGAAGGATTGGAGGGAAGGAAGGAAGGAAGGATTGGAAGGAAGGAAGGAAGGATTGGAGGGAGGGAAGGAAGGAAGGATTGGAGGGAGGGAAGGAAGGATTGGAGGGAAGGAAGGATGGAAGGATTGGAGGGAAGGAACGAAGGATTGGAGGGAAGGAAGGATAGAAGGATTGGAGGGAAGGAGGGAATGTAGGGAAGGGAGGTTGGAGGGAAGGATTGGAAGGAAGGATTGGAGGGAAGGAAGGAAAGCTTGGAGGGAAGGAAGGAAGGATCGGAGGGAAGGAAGGAAGAAGGGAAGGAGGGAAGGAAGGAATAAGGGAAGGAAGGAATAAGGGAAGGAAGAAAGGAGGGAAGGAAGGAAGGAAGGAGGGAAGGAAGAAATAGGAGGAAAGACCATAAGGAAGGGAAGACAAATTTGAAGCCAATGTTAGTTATTCGCACATGTGACATATGCATCCAATACTCATCTTGTATCGATCCCTGACCGATCATCTATCAATGATCGATCACTAGGGTTCTACCTTGCGATCTGGCAAGCCAGGACCTATCAATTACCTATTCACTGCTAATGGATCTACCATCCCCACCTCATCTCTATCAATATTTAATGGATAATCGATTTGTTATCTATGGTCTACTGTGTCTACATCATCTGTCTAATCCATCCTCTATCAATTAACTATCTATCAAGGGGTATCATCTTTATCCCAACTATGGGTGGATAGATGGATGGGTGGATGGATGGATGGATGGATGGGTGGATGGATGAGTGGATGGATGGGTGGATGGATGGATGGGTGGATGGATGGGTGGATGGATGGATGGGTGGATGGATGGGTAGATGGATGGATCGATGGGTGGATCGATGGATGGGTGGGTGGATGAATGGGTGGGTGGATGGATGAGTGGATGGGTGGACGGATGGAGGGATGGATGGATGGATGGGTGGATGGATGGATGAGTGGATGGGTGGATGGATGGATGGATGGAGGGATGGATGGATGGGTGGATGGGTGGGTAGATGGAGGGATGAATGGATGGGTGGATGGATGGATGGATGGGTGGGTGGATGGCTGGATGGAAGGGTGGATGGGTGGATGGATGGATGGGTAGATGAATGGATGGATGGGTGGGTGGATGGGTGGGTGGGTGGGTGGATGGATGGGTGGGTGGATGGATGGATGGGTGGATGGATGAGTGGATGGGTGGATGTATGGATGGGTAGATGAACGGGTGAATGGATGGATGGATGCCCCCCACTTCCCACACTCACCTGCTCCCAGCATCCACCAGGTGCCCGTCTGGCAGCCTCCAGAACACGCGTGGGGCGGGATCCCCGCGCGCGTGGCAGTGCAGCGTGAGGTCAGCGCCGTGGGGCACGCGCGTGGCGAGCGGGCCTCGGGGTCGGACGCTGGGGGGGAGACGCGCGGGCGCGGGCGTGACTTCGACGTGCACAGTGCGTCTCGCGCTGCTCAGCGCGTTGGCGGCCACGCACTCGTACTCACCGGCATGGCGCGGGGCCTGCAGGCGGCGCAGCACCAGCGTGCCATTGGGGAGGACGTAGACGTCACTGAGTCGAGGGTGCGTGTGTGCATGCACGGGTCTCGCGTGGGTCCCGTCAGGCAGACGCCAGTGCAGGGCCACAGGGGGCCAGGCCTGGGCTGTGCAGGGCAGGTGCAGGGTGAGGCCCGCGTGGGCCGACACGAACTCCATGGGCGCCTCGCGCAGCACGGGGGGAGCGGGGGAGGCGTGCATGACATTTCCACGTGTGTCAGAGCCACGCATGCGCGCTTCATGTGTATCAGGTGAGTGTGGAAGGGATGTGATCGTGTCCCTTTCACGAGTGATATTTACACGTGTGACCATCGTGTGAGTTTCAGATCCACGCGTGACATTTCCAAGCGTGTCCATCGTGCCAGAGTCAGATCCACTCGTGTCCGTTCCACGCGTGTCGGGCGCCGCCGGGGTCAGCTCCACGCCTGGGGATGGACAGACGGACGGAGGGAGGGGCAGAGGGACAGGGCGTTGGATAAGAGCCCCTGTGCTGGTCGGAGACAGTGCTCTGTCCCTCTGTCTGTCTGTCCGTCCGGCTGTCCATCTCCGTCCGTCTGTCTATCCATCTGTCTGTCAGTCTGTCTATGTCTGTCTGTCTGTCCCTCTGTCTGTCTGTCTCTGTCAGTCTGTCTGTTCGTCTACTTGTCCGTCCATCTGTCCATCTGTCTGTCCGTCCGTTTCTCTGTCCATCTCTCTGTCTGTCTGTCTATCCATCTGTCTGTCAGTCTATGTCTGTCTGTCCCTCTGTCTGTCTGTCTCTGTCAGTCTGTCTGTTCGTCTGTCTACTTGTCCGTCCGTCAGTCCATCTGTCTGTCCATCCGTTTCTCTGTCCATCTGTCTGTCCCTCTGTCTCTCTGTCCCTCTGTCTGTCCATCTGTCTGTCCCTCTGTCTCTCTGTCTGTCCATCTGTCTATCCATCCATCAGTCCATCCGTCTATCTGTCCATGTGTCTGTGTCGCTCCGTCCACCCATGTATCTGTCTGTCCATTCATCTGTCCATCCATCTATCTACTGTCTTACTGTCTACCTATCTGTGTATCCTTCCTTCCGTCCATCTCTCTCTCTCTCTCTCTCTCTCTCTGTCTATGGCTCTGTTTGTCTATCTGTCCATTGCTCTATCT